GGGCGATTGGGAGGGATGAGCCGAGCTTCCTGAACTTAACCAGCTCGGCCGCGAGCGGGGCTTAGAGCCAGGCAGGTTGCTAAGCCCTGGGGGTGCCTGGGCATCCTCCTCCTCACGCAGCTGCCACTGCGCTGGGGACAGAGCGGAGGGCGGTGTCACAGCGAGGAGATGATCCCCACTATCCCGATCACGGGATCTTTGGTTGCTCTCTGCTATCAAAGATTGTGACGGGTGATGAAGTCTGTGCGGGCTCTGAGTATGAAGCTGAGGTGGTCTTATCTGCAGGGGTTCTTGGGCAGCAGCAAGAGGTGCAAAATCTCCACTGGGAGCCCGGAATGGGTCAGAGAGGATTAAAAGCAGGAGAAGAGCCAAGTCCAAGGCCCACCAAGACCTCAGAGAGGAGGATATGGAGCCTTCCCCCACCTTGCCTTGCTCTCCTACACGGCAGGCGCGGTACTGCCGTACCCACCACGCTGACCCATGGAAACCCCCTGGCAGCTCTTCCAGCCCCAATCCGCCCTCCTTCCCGGCGGAGTCATCCCGCTGCGGGGAGCTCCTACCTGCGGCAGCCTCCTCTTCCTCGCTGCGCGGTGACTGCGCCGTGCACCCGCTCCCACCGCCTTATATCCCCGCACGGGCCCGTCCCCGCCGCGCGGCCCGGCAGATGCGCAGCGTGTGCGAGCGCATGGCGGCGGGCGGATTTTGCGGCCGCAATCCTATTAGTTTATTAATTCGGGAGCTGGTTCATGAGTAAGAGTGGGCAACGAAGGTGCTTCTTGCCAGGGCCCTGAGAAAGCAGATTACGGGGATGGGCAAAGCAGGCTTAGGAGCGAGGTGATGCTAATCGAGATGGATTCCCTGCTCTCGGGCGGGCTGAGGATCCGTGCCCACGGCATTGCCACATGGCTCCCGATTCACGCGGCGGCAGCCAGGGGCTCGGACACCCCGTTCCCAGGCACCTGCCCCATTTCGCTGCTCCCTCCCGCACTTGGAAGCAGCGTGGGAGGTTCAGGAGGCTGCGTGCACGGCTGGGATGCTCAGACAACCCGGTCCCCTCCTGTCCCAGGACGTCCCCCCTCCGAAACGTGACCCTGTGCTCACAGTGGTGGCTGCTGTCCCGCGGCCGGGCCGGGACCACCCCAGAGGCGGCGGGAGGGAAGGAAGGGGCAGCCCTGGCAGGACATGGGGGCAGAGGGACGCGCAGCCCGAAGGGGCCACACGCAGAGGGGAGACCCGGCCCGCAGCGCCACGCGCTCGGCCCTGCCGTTTCATAACGCCGCTGCTTGGCCCCGCCTGACCTGATTAGCACGTTGTTAATTCAAGGCGGGCCGGGACCACCCCAGAGGCGGCGGGAGGGAAGGAAGGGGCAGCCCTGGCAGGACATGGGGGCAGAGGGACGCGCAGCCCGAAGGGGCCACACGCAGAGGGGAGACCCGGCCCGCAGCGCCACGCGCTCGGCCCTGCCGTTTCATAACGCCGCTGCTTGGCCCCGCCTGACCTGATTAGCACGTTGTTAATTCAAGGGTGGCTGCTGCAAATAGAAAACTTCTGGGAGCGCAGGGTGGGTTTGTCCCGCGCGAGGCTCCCTGCCTCCCATGGCCGCAGACTCCGCCACCGGCCGGGCTCTGCCGTCCCAGGAGCAGCGGTGCCAGGGAACATCGGGGACCGGATCTCCTCTCCCATCCCCAGCGCATCCGGAGGCCCCGCTGCTTGTCGAGACCTCTGGCATTCCTTGCATTCTGCAGGCATTTCGAGGTTTGCCTCAGCAACACGCTGCCATTCCCTGTTCATGGCCCCCATGGCCCCATTTCGGAGCCACCCCGTCCCCCCGAGGCCTCTCTTGCGGCCACCATCACTCATGCAGCGACGTCTCCCGTGCTCAGCCCGCCCACACTGCCGCGGAGGCTTTAGCCCCGGGACAGGCCGTGCGCGGCGGGCACTGCCCGTCTCACTAATTGCCCGCGGCAGAGCTGCTTAGCGCCCAGATTAGCGGGTGCTATTTCTGCCAAGGTCAGGGGACGCGTGAACTGCGACCCACGGGGTGCCGGGGGGGCGGCCGTCCCAGACGTGTCCCATCCCAGCGTGGTGGCTCCCTGCACTTTAAATGCCCTGGGAGATCCAGGAAAAACCCCGGCATCATCCTACTCCCTTGAGCGGGAGGCACCACTGGGGATGGCACCGGGACGAGCCGTCCCCCTCTGCAGCCCCTCGGGTGAGGAATGCACCCGGGGGGCATCCTGCGAGCCCATCC